TAACTAGTTCAAATACAATATGTAATGTTCTAAATTGTTGTAGACACTTTATTAACATGATTAAAGATATCTAAAAATGCCATTAGTGGGTAAAATATTAACAACAAAAGATATTAAGAGTATTTTTGAGACTACTTTTTTCCTAACTAGAAAAGCTATGGAATTCATAATGAGCAGAGTTATAATGACACTTTAATCCTGCTGTTTTACAACATCAATACTAAGAGCAAATGCACAAAGAACAGAAAAGAAACACAGGATTTCAAAAGAAAAATCTAATAAACACTTGAATTTTGGATGCTTCAAACACAAAAGGGTTCACAGTGCTTATAAGCACTGTTATTATTTTCATCCTTTAAGCAGTTCAAATCTTTATTTCATTTCTAATTTTATCCAGAAATAAAAACCTAATTCTTTACATAATGCATCTTATCAATTTCAGTTTTCAAGTATTCAAGTAATGCAAACCCAAGTATTTTCTTTTGTGGTAACAACGCACTTATATAGACTGAGCTTCAAAGACAGGGAAAAATTCATTTAAAATAATTGATACACTTTTCTGCCCAAAGACATAAGAACTAAGACTTAATGTAATCACACAAATGGTATTTAATAAGAGAAGGAAAAAAAAAATGGTCCATATAATCAATGACTCCTTATTAAAAAGATTCAAAAACAGATTGCCTTAATATGTGGTTAGATTCCCAGTAACAGGATATTCTGAAATCTAAGGAACTACAGAAGGAAAACCAGAGTAGGTTCAATTTCCCTGCTGTTTTTCCATAAAGGTATAATTGTTTACTTTGGATTTCCTTTCTACTTTCACTGGGAGATTTTCTGCTGTCATCTTTCATAGTGATGACCATGTTTCTGTGTGTAGCATATTCTTAAGCATCTTTTGTAACACTGGATGAGCGGTGACAAATTATTTGAATTTCTATTTTTAATGGAAGGTCTTTATTTCACCTTCATTCATAAATATGAGCTTTGCAGGATATGGTATTCTGAGCTGACAGGTTTTTTTTTTTCTCTTAAGTCTTGGAATATATCTCACCATTCTCTTCCAGCCTGTAGGATTTCTGATGTGAAGTCCGATGTGAGTCTAATTGGAGATCTTCTGAAAGTAATCTGGTGTTCCTCTCGTGCATATTTTAGAATCTTTTCTTTATGTTTTACTGTGGAGAGCTTGATTACAATGTGTCATGACGAAGCTCTTTTCTGGTCATGTCTATATAGGATTTCTATATGTTTCCTGCACTTGGATGTCCCTTTCTCCAAATTAGGGAAGTTTCCTGTAATTATTTCACTAAAAAGGCCTTCGAATCCATTTTCTCTTTCCACACCTTCAGTAACTCCTAAGTCCTATATGTTGGGTAATTTCATAGTATCCCATAAATCTCCCACACTGTCTTTTAGTTTTCTAATCTTTTCTTTTTTGGTCTGACAGTAAAATTTCCAGAGATTTGTCATGTAACTCAGATATTCTTTCTTTTGCCTCACCAAGTCTGTTCTTAAGGCTTTCCAGCATATTTCTTATTTGTTCTATTGAAATCTCCGTTTCCAATATTTCATTTTGGTTTCTCTTTAAAAATCTCAATTTCATAGGAAAAATATTCATTCATGTCATGTATGGATTTTTTTAATTCATGGATTTGCTTCTGATTACTTCAAAGTAATCCTACAATCAATTTTTTTGAGTTCCATCCCCAGCATTTTTTTCAGTCTCTTCATTTTCACATTCTAAGATTGAAGTGTTTTCCTTTTGAGGTATCAGATTGTCTTCCTTATTCTTGATTCTTGAGTTGCTGCGTTTATTTTTGGGCATTTGTGGAGATATTTTTTTTTCCCTGCTATGACTTTTATCTTTGGACTATGTGGATTAGTGGAGTGTCTGCTCTTTCAGTGAATACCCTGTGGCCTGTGCTGGGTATAGTCAGGGAGCTCTGTTCAGTGCTCCAGGGTGAGCGGAGTGTCCAAAGTGACACCCAAATTGGGCCTAGTAAATTTCTTCTTTTTTTTTTAATCAGAAGGGAGGATTAATCTGCTCTTTTGATGTAGTCTCATGCTCACCTCCTCTCCTCCAAGGAGAATAATGCCTGGTTGCTAGTCCCAGTGGGTATAATATTTGTTTGCCCTTCCACAAGAACCACACAAAGGATCCATGCAGTGCTCTGTGTGAGAATGGATCCTGCAACAATGACCCTCACCAGGGAACCAGGGAACCTGGAGTGTGTGGAGTTTCCCCTGACTACCCAAAGACCCAGCTACATATTCAGCCCTCACACACAATGTTTTCACAGTTCCAGCACACAAGGCTCCCACAGTCATGCGCACCCAGACCCCTGTCAATTCTTCCAGCCAGACTCAGGCATCTCCACTTGGCTGGTTGTTGGATGCACAAACACAAGCGGGTGCAACTGTTACAAATGTCCAAAATGGCCCTATCTCTGCTAGTTATAGGATACCGGTGCCAGGTGGTCAGGGAGAGAGAAATGTGTGTGTCCCCCCCCCCCCCCCGGCCATTTTCACCTCTAGGTTGGCAGGCACACTTCTCCCCTCTGGGCTCCAAGATGTACACAGGCCAGGTTCTTTCCACAGGGTTTTTTTTTTTTTTTTTTTTTTTTTTTTTAATTTGACAGGTAGAGTTATAGACAGTGAGAGACAGAGAGACAGAGAGAAAGATCTTCCTTCCGTTGGTTCACTCCCAAATGGCCGCTACGTCCGGTGCTGTGCCAATCCGAAACCAGGAGCCAGGTGCTTCTTCCTGGTCTCTTGTGCGGGTGCAGGGGCCCAAACACCTGGGCCATCCTCCACTGCCCTCCTGGGCCACAGCAGAGAGCTGGACTGGAAGAGGAGCAACTGGGACTAGAACCCGGTGCCCATATGGGATGCCAGCGCTGCAGGTGGAGGATTAACCAAGTGAGCCATAGTGCTGGCCCCTCTTTCCACAGTTTTATTGCCAGTGGCTTAGGTTGCTGCAGTCTGGTCTCGCCTCACTCTCCAAAGCTGGTACTGAGGCTCTTTGCTGCTGGGGTCTTCAGTTGTGTGTGTCTATACCCTCCACGTAGATCTACAGTATTTCTCTAATTTGCCTGGAGTTTCCTCTGCTGTTTTCTTCCTAATTCTCCTGAGATTGGACTATCTCTATATTTTTTAAAAACTATCTTCTCCTAGACTGGAGCAGTAAGCTCCCAACCTATTCTGCCATCTTTGAGTCTGCCTTCTGTGTGTTCAAATAAATAAATCTTTAAAAAATTATTTGTGCTAGAAGGAGATAGATACATACCAGAGATCTCCCACTCACTGGTTAACTCTCCTAAATGCCAACAAGAGCCAGGGCTGCACCAGAGAGAGCCATCTGGGTTTCTTACAGGGGTGGCAGGGACTCAAGTACTTGAGCCATCACTGCTGTCTGCCAGAGTGTACCTTAGCAAGAAACTGGCTTGGAAGCAGAGACAAGTCTAAAGAATATATCAGAATTTTCATCAAAGTTAAAAAGTCAAAACAGAAAGTGAGATGCTTAGTTTCTGAACAGCTCAAGACTGCAGCACTCAGATTTTCCTTTATTGAGAAGGGAGAAAAGGGAGCTGGATTTACATTAGCACCGTGTTTACCAGGTACATGGGAAACAGACAATGAAATAGGAAACCTGAACAGACTGTACTTATTGAGAAAATTGTCCTCACTTTTAATCTCTTTTTTCCTCTAGATCCAGTTTGGCTTTTCTTTAACTTGATATTCTGCAGTTTTGTTTATCCTGCTCAGAACTTAATGTGCTTCTTAAATCTGAAGAAATATACTCCTTTAATTTTTGTAAAAATTCAGTTATTATACCTTTGGTAATTGCACCTTCCTACTCGCTCTGTTCTTCACTTCTGGGATGTCAATGGATATGTGTTGGAACTTTTAATTCTACAGAGTGTTTACCAAGTCAGGAAACACAGTATAATAAGGAATAACTTATGTATGGGAAAATGTCCTTTTTTCGGTGCTCTAGATCAGCGAGTTTTGGCAAATGGATGCCTTCAGAGAAGTGCTGTGAAGATTTAGAATATTCCTTTTACTACAAGAAATTCTCTCATATCCCTTTGCTCGTTGTTCTTTTTTAATATTTAAGAGTTAAAGAGAAAGAGAAAGAGAGAGAGAGAAAAAGAGAGAGAGAGAAAGTCTTCCATCCACTGATTCACTCCCCAAATGGCGTCAAGGGCCAGAGCTGGTGTGATCCAAAGCCAGGAGCCAGGAGCTTCTTCTGGGTCTCCCACGTGGGTGCAGCAGCCCAAGTATTGGGCCATCTTCCACTGCTTTCTCAGGCCATAAGCAGAGAGCTAGATTGGGAAAGGAGCTGCCAGGACATGAACCGGTGCCCATATGGGATGCTGGAGCTGAAGGCGGAGGCTTAACCTACTATGCCACAGCGCAGGCCTCAGTCCCTCTGTTCTTAATTCTCTTCCCCCACTCCTGACACCTAGAAATCACTGATCTCTTTTCCTACAGTTTTACCTTTCCAAGAATGTCACATAAATGGAATCAGTGAAGATGTAGTCTTGGATTCCATTGATGGAATATTTTTGAGGTTTGCTCAACTGTGGTACATATCCATAGATCATTCTTTTTAGGGCTGAGGTGTGTTACATTACGTGGGTGTTTCACAGTTGGTTTAGCTATTCACTAGTAATGGGCATTTTGTTATTTCTAGGAGAAGTGTTGCTGGGATGTTATGGTAAGCTCTTAGGTGTGGGATTGTTTACGCATGTTATAAGAAACTGATGAACTCTTTTCCAGAGCGGTTCTATTTCCCAGGAGCACCCAGACAGCAGTAGGACGGGGCGCAGGCTCCTCACGAAACACTGGTGGCTACCGGCTGCGGGGGATGGGGGGTGGGGAAGGGTGACCACTGGTGGGACCCAGCGCAGTCTCCTGGGAGAACCCACCTCGCCTCCCCAGAAGCTCCCACTGCAGCCCTGCGCCTCCCAGCCCTGTGGCCCCGTGGGCCCACTCACCTCTCCTGATCTCTGACGCTGGGGACCTCAGCCTTCTTGGCAGCCTCTTCCTCCTCCTCTTTCTCCTGAGGCTGCTCGGAGGTGGCGCCGTTCTCCACCTCAGCAGACACGAGCTGCTCTGCCGCCAAGATGGCAACCGCCTTCTCCTCCACTGCGGCGTCTTCTGCTGCCTTGGGTTGTTTAGGGGGCTCCTCCAGCAGCTCCGCTGCTCTCCTCTTCAGTGCCCCCTTCTCCTTCTTCTCCGCAGCCGGCTCCTCGATGACCATGACCAGCGTCCCCTCCTCATCACTGCTCCCCTCGTCCTTGCCCTTCCGATCGCCGTCCCCGGCTGCGGCCCGGGGCTTGGTCTCTCCCCGGCTCCTCTTCTTCTGGGCGGGCTTGGCTGCAGACGCCTTGACGGTGGGGTCGTGCTCGATCTCCCACAGGCCCTCGCCGAAGCCTTTCCTCTTGTTGGGCTTGCCCAGCTTCTCCTTGGACTGCTCGTAAGGGAAGAGGTCTTTGGGGCCCAGGAATGCCGTCTCGTGGGTCCCGAAAAAAAACACCTGATACTTGTTGGCTGTGGACTTGGCGGTGGCCTCAGGGACCTCGTCAATCCGGGCCGGCCAGTGTGGGTAGCCCTTCATCTTGGCGAACACCAAGTCCCCGTACTTGTACTCCTGCCGGTTGGGTCGCGACATGGCGGGGCTCTGGCCGCCCCGGGCTCTGCAACGGGCTGCGCGGCGCGAGCCCGAGTAGTTATGTTTTGAAATAATAGGATCGCTATATTTTTCTTCAATTTCTAAGCAGACATCTTTAACGTAAAACAAAAACAAAAACAAAAAACAAAAAACACACACACACCAAAAGCCCAAAACCAAAAAACAAAAAAAACTCTAGATTTAAAGCTGGGACTCTGGTCATTCATCAGAAAAAAAATGAAACACACACACTATTTTTTGTGTGCTTCCCAATTTTTTTGAACCTCAGTAGTGTAGTTTTTAGATTAACAAATGAACCCACTGCTTTATACTTAGAGATCTTTTACATAAATATAAGTTCTCTGACTCTAACTAGATTTTATATTTTCTGTCATTTATTTATTTTTCTGGCATTTCTTTTATTCTTTGTCATTTGTTTCTTGAATATTGATCATTCAATCATTTGCCAATTTTTTCTTTATCTGTTTCTGATTTGTTGTATCCCATTATGGGTGTTGCTGTAAAACCCAGTACATTTCTTTTTCATTATAAGAGTTGCTGTGTGATTCTTTTTTTAATTTTTAAATTGATGTAATTAATTTATTTGGAAAGCAGACACAGAGATATTGTCCATCTTCTCATTCACTCTCCAAATGCCTGAACCAGCAGAGGTTGGGCCAGGCTGAAGTCGGGAGCCTGGAATTCAACCCAGGTCTCCATCATAGGTGGCTGGATCCAAATGCTCCTGCTCTCATATGGAGATTCCCATGGTGTGCATTAGCAGGAAGCCAGAATCCAGAGCACAACTGAACCCAGCCATCCTGAAATTCCCAAGCAGGAACCCAACCACCACAACCAAATATCTTGCCCTATTTTTAGCATTTTAAAATTATTTTTTGCCATATTTAAGTTACATTTTTAATGCAAAGCAGCATATCACATAGTATTTAGTTTAATTTGTTTAGTAGATCAAATGATGGATTAGCAATTGGCCAGACTGATTCATGGAACACTGCATTTGTTAAACACAACCAATTCCTAATTTAATTTATGGAAGAGTATATCAGTCAGCATTGTTACAATTTAACTGATGCAAAATCTCTTGAAGTGAACATTGTCATTAACTTTTTTTAAAGATTGTTTTTTTTCTTTTTTTTTTAAACTAGAAAACTTTTATTAAGGTACACAAACCATGCATTTCATTTATACAGATTGAGGAACATAATGATTCTTCCCTCCCTACCCTCCCTCCTGCCTGCACTCCCACCTTTCTTCCTTCAATCTCTTGTATTCTGATTCTTATTTTTTAAAAAGATCTATTTTCAGTTCACTTTATACACATAAGACTAACCCTATACTAAGGATTAAAAAATAGTATATAAAAAATCTGTTTCTCAACAGTTGAGACAAGGGCTGTTCAAAATCATCAGCTCTCAAAGTGTCAATTTCACTTCTATAGATTATCTATTAGGTACTCTATTAGCTACCACAGATCAGGGAGAACATATGTTATTTGTCTTTTTTTGGGACTGGCTTATTTCCCTAAGTATAATGGTTTCTAGTTGCATCCATTTTGTTGCAATTGACAGGATTTCATTTTTTTTTTACCAGTGTGTAGTATTCCATGGTGTACATATACCATGTTTACTTCATCCAGTCTTCAATTGACAGACATATGAGTTGATTGTATATTTGAGCTATTGTGAATTGAACTGCAATAAACATGGAGGTACAGATAACTCTTTCATATGCTGATTTCATTATCTTTACGTAAATTCCCAGGAGTGGATGGCTGGGTCATATGGTAGATCTATATTCAGATTTCTGAGGTATCTCCATACTGTCTTCCACAGTGACTGCAGCAGTTTACATTCCCACCAACAGTGGCTTAGTGTACCTTTTCCCCCACATCCTTGCCAGCATTTGTTGTTTGTTGATTTCTGTACAAAAGCCATTCTATCTGGGGTGAAGTGAAACCTCATTGTGATTTTGATTTGCATTTCCCTTATGGCTAGTGATCCTGAGCATTTTTTCATGTGTCTGTTGGCTATTTGGATTTCCTTTTTTGAAAAATGCCTGTTCAAGTCATTTGAACACTTCTTAACTGGATTGTTTGTTTTCTTATTGTTGAGTTTCTTGAACGCTTTAGAGATTCTGAATATTAATCTTTTATCAGTTGAATAGTTTGAAAATATTTTCTCCCATTCTGTCAGCTGCCTCTTCACTTTGCTGAGTGTTTCTTTCGCAGTGCAGCAACTTCTCAGCTTGATGCAATGTTAATTTTGGCTTTGATGGCTTGTGCTTCTGGGGTCTGTTCTAAGAAGTCTTTGCCTGTGCCAATGTCTTTAGGGTTTTCCCAATGTTCTTTAATAATTTCATAGTATCAGGTCATAGATTTAGGTCTTGATCCATTTTGAGTGGATTTTTGTATAAGGTGTAAGGTAGGGGTCTTGTTTCATATTTCTGCATGTGGAGATCCAATTTTCCCAGCACCATTTGTTGAAGAGATTGTCCTTGCTCCTGGGGCTGATTTTAGCTCCTTGTCAAAGATAAGTTGGTTGTAGATGTATAGACTGATTTCTGGAGTTTCTATTCTGTTCCATTTGTCTACCCATCTGCATTTTTTTTTTCTGCCAGTACCAGGATGTTTTGATTACAACTGCCCAGTAGTATGTCTTAAAATCTGGTGTTATGGGCCATACTTCACTGCCCTTCCGGGCCACAGCAGAGAGCTGGACAGGAAGAGGAGCAAGTGGGACAGAATGTGGTGCCCTAACCGGAACTAGAACCTGGTGTGCCGGTGCCGCAGGCAGAGGATTAGCCTATTGAGCCGAGGCGCCAGCCCCCATAAGTTTTAATATGTTGTATTGTTATCTTCATTCATTTACATAATTTTTTTTTATTTCTCTCTTGATTTCTTTTATGACCCATTGTTAATTCAGTGGCATGTTGTTTATTCTTCATGTGTTTGCATAGGTTCTAGAGATTCTTGAGTTGTTGATTTCTAGCTTTTTTCCATTGTTGTCAAAGAAGATGTATGGTGTGATTTTTATTTTTTGAATTTGCTGAGACTTGCTTTATGGCCTAACATGTGGCTTATCCTAGAGAAAGTCCCATGCACTGGTGAGAAGAATGTGTATTTTGCAACTGTTTGATGGAAAGTTCTGTAGTTATTTCAGATATTCTTCTTTCTGCCTCATTGAATCTATTGTTAAGGCTTTCCATTACATTTTTTTATTTGATATATTGCTCATTGTCCCTGTCTACATGGAAATTCTTCTTCCATGTAGGACAAAAACCAAGACGATCCTCATCCTCACCCTCTCATGACACAAGGAGAGTTCTGCAATTCCACTATCTTCCTGACACGCAAACCGCAATTCAATATATGAACATAAACACTGTTTCATTTTGATTTCTCTTTAAAATCTCAGTTTCATGGGAAAATATTTATTCATGTCAGGTATGGGTTTCTTTAATTCATGGATTTGCTTATGATTGCCTTTTTTTTTTTTGACAGACAGGGTTAGACAGTGAGAGAGACAGAGAGACAGAGAGAAAGGTCTTCCTTCCATTGGTTCACCCCCCAAAATGGTCTTTATGGCCGGCGCGCTGCGCCGATCCAAAGCCAGGAGCCAGGTGCTTCCTCCTGGTCTCCTATGTGGGTGCAGGGCTTGGGCCATCCTCCACTGACTGCCCTCCCAGGCCACAGCAGAGAGCTGGACTGGAAGAGGAGCAACCAGGACAGAATCCGGCACCCCAACCGGGACTAGAACCCGGGGTGCTGGCGCCGCAGGTGGAGGATTAGCCTAGTGAGCCACTGCGCCGGCCACTTCTGATTGTTTTTGAATAATCCAATGATTGATTTTTTGAATTCTTCCTGGCATTTCATCAATATCTTCATCTTCACATTCTGGTATTGAAGTGTTTTTGTCTTCCTTTGGGAGCATAATGTTGTCTTTTAATTCTTGTTTCTGGGATTTCTGCATTTATTTTTATGCATTTATGGAGATACTTGTTGGTTTTCTTTTTCCTCTGATGGCTTTTATCTTTCGCCTATGCCTTTGTGGCTTAATGGAGTGTCTGCTTTTTCAGTGAATACCCAGAAGCTTGTGCTGGGTGGAGCCAGGGAGCTCTGTTTAGTGCTCCAGGGAAGGGGGAGTATCTAGGGTGACACACAAACTAAGTGTGGTAGTATCCTATTTTTTTTTTCTTTTTCTATTTTCTATTTTTTTTATCAGAGGGGAGAGTTTGATCAACTCTGTTCGTGTTGCCTCACCCTTACCTCCTCTCTTCCAAGGTCATCACTGCCTAGGTGCTAGACCAGTGGGTGCAATATTTGTCCATGCTGCCACAAGAACCACACAAAGGATCCATGCAGTCCTCATTGTTAGCATGGATCCCACCATAATGACCCCCCCCAATCAGGAAGCCCTATCATGTGGAGCTACTACAGTGAAGGCCCAGAGACCCTGCCAAACCTTGTGCCCTCCCATGCATCCACAGTGTTCTCAGAGTTCCAGCATATAAGGCTCTCACAGTAACAGGATGCCAAGGATCCACTCCACCCTGCCAGTCCATCTTGTCCATAGAGAGGCAGAGACATACCCAGAAATAGTTGCCTGAGGGTTCTCTATTTAGATAATTTGAGCCCCAGAGCCTATGAAGTATTGGGAGGATGGGGGCACCTCACAGTCCTACGTGGGTACCCAGCCCCCTGTGACTTCATCCAGCTAGACTCAGGTGTCCGCTCTTGATTGGTTGCTGGGTGTGCATACACAAGCGGCACAGCTGTTACATATGTCAAGAATGATACCTGTCCTTTCTCAGCCATATGCAAGGCATTGTTGTCAAGGGGACAGGGAGAAAGAAATGTGCTCCCCTTTTTTCTCTCTAGGTTGGCAAATACCCTGTCAAGGGATTCCAGGCTGGATTCATAGCAGGCTCTCCCCACAGCTAGACTGACAGTGGCTTGGACCTTTTTTTGTTTTTAAAGATTTATTTATTTATTATTTGAAAGGCAGATTTACAGAGAGGCAG